TGGTCTCGTCGTTACATGGGCTGGTGGTCTAATATAGTCAACCTTGCAGTGAGAGGGTTCATTGGTTCTGAAATTACTGTTCAAAGTCTCCACGCTAAGCTGAATGATTTTATGAAAAACAAATTATTGTGTGGTTTCTCTTTTTTTTTTTGGGAAACAATTGATTTTATGTGGTTTCTCTTTCACTTGTTTATTCACAGTTAATTGATCACTTCCAAGAAAGTGTACTACTATTTAACAGAAAAAAAACATTGACTGATCTTAAGCAAATTAATTAAATTAAATCATTAAAAACATTGACTGGTTAGCTGGTTTCACATTCATTGACTGTAGGACTCATAAGCCATCAATGAACAATAGAAATAACAAACCAGAGAGGAAACGAGTCTGCTTTTGGTTCTTTAACTTCTGTCTTCCTTCTTCCTGCCTTTTGCCTTGCAAGCATGAGAGCTTCTGCAAAGTTACAAGACCGGTTAATTCTTACCCTAGCTATGACCGGTCCACATGCATACTAATGCGTTGTACCGTATCATATCCCAACTACAAAAGTTGACTAATTTCGTACACGAAAAAGTATAATTTGGCTAAAATTACATTAACTCTAACGTCGTTGGTATGGTATTGAACTACTGATGATCAACCCACCCAACTTCTAGGTTAAGAATTTACTATTGGTTCGGTAAAATATTCATTTAACGAAAAAACTCTAACGTTAGCCAAACCGTTACGAGTTACTTTGGGATATTAACCGCCATCAACTGCACTAAGCTGCAAATTTTGCCAAATGTATGATTTTTTTGTCTTTTTTCAAAAACACACAGACACTATGCAATTTTCGGTTAATTTTACTTCCCGCATTATTCCCGTCAAAAACGGAAAAATTTGTAGGATCAAATTTTGCATTCACAACAGCTAGTGTCATTTTAGTTATTTTATTTTTTTATCGCTTCCAAATCATATTAAAATTTAAGAATATATGAGAATCTTTCGAATCACTTTACCTAATACAGTGTATTAAATAGTTGTAAAGTTAAGAGTAAAGTAGTACTATACTAATTTTGTTTTTACACCAAGTTGCTACATTAAAGAGTAAATTACTATCTTAAGTAGTCAACTTCTACCGAGAGTGTTGATTGTTCTAAAGCAATGAAAGCTAGCTAGAAGTGGATCAACTAGGATTGTGAAATTACTAATTTACATTTTAACACTTCGTTTGTTACTGGTCTGGTAAGGCAGTAAAACAATGATGTCTTATTCACAGAAAGTCTCGGCGATTAGCAATATAATTATAAACCGATCAGAGATTCAACACTGATATGTTTCTTTTTCTCACAGAAGTCCATAACTTTATTTTTCTTTGTTTTCTCATTCACATGTATTCCAAAATTTAGTTAGTCTAATTATTGTTACTCGTCTAGTTGACTTTGACTTGCAAGAAATAGCATTATTGAGCAAAAAAAAAAAAAAAAGAGTATTGACTGGCTCATTATCATCATTCATAAAGGAAAAACCAAACAGAGGAAAAGAAAAGAAATTGGATAATGTCTGCTTATACCTCAAACTCTCTCTTCCTTCTTCTCACATTGATTGCAAGCTTTAGAGCTTCTGCACAATTACAAGATCCTATTTACGTTGGCCATGTTTGTACTAACAGGATATCAAGAAACACCACTTACTTCTCCAATCTCCATACCCTTTTGACCTCTCTGTCTACCAACCCTGCTTTCTTCGTTATGGGTTATCGTAACCTCGCAAAGGGTCAAAATCCCGACAGGGTATTCGGTCTTTATCTCTGCAAAGGAAATCTCTCCACAGAAGTTTGTCGTCACTGCGTCGTGTATGCCAGGGAAGACGCTCTCAGTCGATGTCCAGGAGGCAAAGAGTTCTTAATTCAGTATGATGAGTGCATGCTTGGATACGCAGACCGGGATATTTTCATGGATACTGGAACCACACCTCAAATAATCACTTGGAACACTCAGAATGTTCCAACGGATCAATCAGACCAGTTTGATGATGCAGTGCGTTCTCTAATTAAAAAATGTGCAGAGGAAGCGGCTAATAGCACAAGAATGTTCGCGGTTAAGAAGTCGGTTTTCACATCGTCTCGGACTCTTTATGCATATGTTCAGTGTATTCCTGACCTTTCAAGTCAAGATTGTTCAAGCTGTGTGCAACAATCCATCAGTAGATTGAATTTTAGCAGCGTTGGAGGAAGATTTATTTTCCCGAGTTGTAACTCGAGGTACGAGGTTTATCCTTTCTACAATGAAACCGTAGTGACAAATGTTCTTCCTCCGCCGGTTTCACCTGCTCTATTGCCTCCTGGTAAAAGCTCTCTCTCTCTCTTTGTATTTTCATCCTTCATTTACTTGACTTTTGGAATTTCAATTTGTGTTTTATAAATCTTGTGGTAGATTTGGGAGATCATGTGTCATGTCTGATGTAATTCTTTGGCAGGAAAAGGAGGAAATTCCACAGTGATAATCATAGCAATTGTTGTGCCGGTCTTGGTTTCTTTCCTTCTTTTTGTTGCTGTTTGTAGCTTCTGTGTAGCAAAGAGAGTGAAGAGGACTTATGATAAAACAACTGCAAATGATGGTAAAGATTCCAAAATTTTAGAATGTGCTACTTAAAGCTTTATGAATTATTAAAACTTTTCATTTTTGGCAGATAGGGATGAGATGACAACTGCAGGCTCACTACAATTTGATTTTAAAGTTGTTGAAGCTGCGACAGATAAGTTTTCTCTATGTAACAAACTCGGTCAAGGTGGATTCGGACAAGTTTACAAGGTATTACGAGTTTCATTGAGCTTCCTAATTAGTTGCTAAACATATTCAAAGAAGGTCTTGACTCTGTTTTATTCACAATCTTTTTAGGGTACTCTTCCTAATGGATTACAAGTTGCGGTAAAGAGACTATCGAAAACATCAGGACAAGGTGAAAAAGAGTTCAAGAACGAAGTTCTTGTCGTTGCAAAGCTTCAACATAGAAATCTTGTAAGGCTTCTAGGATTTTGTTTGGAAAAAGAAGAGAAAATTCTTGTTTATGAGTTTGTGCCTAACAAAAGCCTTGATTACTTCCTGTTCGGTAAGTATCTAATACTTTTAGCCCAAATGTTTTGATTTTTGAACTTACGTTTTTGACATTGTAACTCTGGATGTGCAGACTCTAGAAAGCAGAGTCAACTGGACTGGACAAGACGATACAAAATCATTGGAGGAATCGCTAGAGGGATTCTATATCTTCATCAAGATTCACGACTTACAATCATACATCGTGACCTCAAAGCAGGTAACATCCTCTTGGACGCTGATATGAACCCCAAAGTCGCAGATTTTGGAATGGCCAGAATTTTTGAAATTGATCAAACAGAAGCCAATACAAGAAGAGTAGTTGGAACCTAGTAAGTTTTTTCTTTTGCTATTCAAAACTGTATTATGTTTCTAAAAACTCAACCTTTTTAAGTATTTTTTCAGTGGTTACATGTCTCCAGAGTATGCAATGTATGGTCAATTCTCAATGAAATCAGATGTCTATAGCTTTGGGGTCTTAGTTCTTGAGATTATAAGCGGCAAGAAGAACAGTAGCCTCTACCATATGGATGGTAGTGTCGGCAACTTGGTTACATATGTGAGTGTAAACAGTTTAAATCTGAAATATATTTTGGTTTACTTAACAATTACAAAAAATTTTAAAATCCTAAAATGGTCAATATATAGACTTGGAGGCTATGGAGCAATGGGTCTCCACTAGAGCTTGTAGATCCATCCTTTCGAGATAACTATCAAAGAAATGAAATCAGTAGATGCATCCATATCGCTTTATTATGTGTTCAAGAAGATGCTGAAGGCCGTCCAACCATGTCAGGGATCGTCCAGATGCTCACTACTAGCTCAATAGCTCTTGCAGTACCTCGACCACCTGGATTTTTCTTCCGGAGTAGGCATGATCAAGCAGGTCCATCGATGGATAAGTCTGCTCTATGTTCTATCGATGCTGCATCGATTACTTGTGTATCTCCTCGTTGAAGGCAAACTCATTCATAAACCAAGAATCCTTGCAATTTTCGGGTTCCATAGGAGAATGTTACCAGAGGTCACGGTGTATGATTATAAATTTATAAGCCTTGAATCTTGATTTTGATAAAGAATTCATCGAGCAATCCCTTCAATGATAGTGTATCGTGTGGTTCGGTCCAATAATATAATTGTATAGTCATTTAGAACCGGTCACATCAATGTCTCTTGGGTTGACTCGTGTAAAGTTTTGTTAAGTCAATTATATGGTAGCCAAAAGAACAGACTGTAGAATCTCGTAGGCCTTCACACTTGGAACAAACAAACAAAAGAAGGTCCACGAGGAAAAAAATGCCAAAGACAATCAGACAAAGTCAACATAGAGAAAGCGAGAGCAACCACTATCGAAGACATAAATGGGAAGACTCATTAGTTGCTTCACAATTCTTATCGCTTTGGTAATTTTGTAACCAAATTCTCCATCATTTTGGAATCGCATTGCCTTCTCAATTTAGTTAACAAGAAGAGAAATTATTCAGATCTCATTAAACCGAAAAGGGAAAGAATTTGATGGGTGGTCGCCGGCCAAAACCCTAATTCGTTTTCCGTAGTCGACAAGAAAAGAATATGCATTTACAGGTACAATTCTATTAAAATTGAGATGTAACGGGTGTTTGATTATCGGCCTAAGGGCCTAAGAGCACCTTCATGTATAGTCTTTTAATGAGTATTTCAAAATATATTAAAATATAAACAACTAGTATAAGATTTGCGTTAATACGCAGATAAATATTATAAATGAAATAACTATTTAAATTTTAATTAGTAATCTGTCAAATTTTAAAATACTATTTAATGTGTATCTTAAAACCAGTAGAAGTCCATTTATATCATAAGTATCATTAGCTAATACATATCATGCAAATCCAAAAATATATATTATCAGAATTTAAATTATATTCTTAATACTAGAGAAAATATATAGTTTAACACATTATGAATATTTATGATTATATGATAGAAAATAAAAACAACTAAAATACTATACACTTAAATCAGAAAGAGTAAATTTTATGTTAGTAAAATCATCAAAACTATAAATATTGCTGTGAACCATCACATAAGTACATGATTAATAATGTATTTTATTAATGTCATCGTTTTATTTCTCATAAAGATTTATACTCGTTAAACTTTATACAATATTAACTTAATAGTAAATATAATGTTACTATTTTTTTAACTTATATAATTTTACACTTGAAGAATTCTTAGTTTCTTAGTTAGTTTATAATCATTGTTTAGAATATATTTCTTATTTTCTTTTCAATTCTTTTTGTTAATA